AAGGGCAAGAGTGGGCACCCTCGTCTTACTCTTGCTTAATCTTAGAGGAAAAGCCTTCACTTCACCACTGAGCGTGATATTAGCTTTGGACTTGTTGAGTGTAACCTTTATCGGTGCCTACCTTTTTTTCAGTGTAACTCTCCCTATTTGAAGGAGGCCAGAGACCTCATTATGTTGGTCTTTTTGAATTTGCATTAGATAAAATTTCAAGAAAGAAAATAAGCCAGAACCAGTGGGATTAGAATCTATAGCTGTAGGCTAAGGAATTAGCCAAGTGGAAAGGGCTCAATTTCTCGTGTTCCTCTCTATCAGCAGTCTACTACTAACTTCAGTTTGCAAAATTTTACAGAATTTTGTGAGTTTTAAAGAAATGTGTTCCTCTTAATTTAAAAATAGTAAGAAATCATATGTAATTTGGCACATCCTAAAAATATAAGGGATGAAAGAAAAATCACTCATAATTCTACTACTGTTATTTAATTCAGTTAATAGTTTGAAGTGCATTATTCTAATTATACACATAACTTTTTTTTTTTTTTTTTTTTTTTTGGTGCTGGGAATTTTACCCAGGACTTCACATGTACTAAGCACACATACTCTACCACTGAGCCACACCCCAACCCACATATAGTTTTATCTACAAACTTGGGCTCTTAATTATTTTGAAATAATTTTGTTTTCTTTTCTTGTTTTATCATAGAAGTTGATTTTATGGGAATCACATCTATAGTATTCCTGACCAGCTTCTTCATTTTTTTTTCTGTGCTAGGGATTGAGCCCAAGTCTCCCACATGCTAGATAATCCCTCTGTCAGTGAGCTACATTCCCAACCCCATGATCAACTTCAAAATAATTTTATTTTCATATACTATTTCACTCTTAGGCTATTTCATAGCCTAAGGTTTTGTTTCCCCTTGAGTTTTTAAACTAGTCCTCTGTTGTTGGATATTGATATCATTTGTTTATATTCTCCTTCCTACTATAAAACTTGCAGTGAATATCATTTAAACAAAATTTTTGTGCATACCCATGATTGATTGTTTGAGATTCATTTATAACAGGAGCTTTAAATAAAACATATAAACTTTGTAAAAGTCTTTTATGATATTGATTGCAAATCTTCCCCTTACTTTCACATGTCTAAAAAGCTATTTCAATTTATACTCTTTTCACCCATGTGATGTTTTTTCACTCTTTTTAAAAAGCAAAACACAGTTGTTGGCTCTCCTCTTTATAAATAATTGTCTTTTAATTGAACATTTTTCTTTCTGATTTTCTCTTCTTTTTTTCCCGACTTTCTCTCTCCTTGCCTTTGTACTCCTTCATCAATTTATATTCCTTAAGTTTAAAATGATCATTTTTAAGCTTAATTTTTATTCTGCCTTGCACATTTTGCTCCAGTTTACAGAATCCTTATGAAAGATATCATGATTACACAAATATTGTGAACTCACTTAAAAGCGATTAATATTGTTGAAAGAAGAAAAAAATGTTTATTAAGCACTTGAGTATCCATACTATGCTGAAGACCCTGGAAGATACCCGAGAAGGGCAAGGCATGGTCCCAGGGGCCTCACATCCTTAGTTGGGGAAATACAACCAATCTCTAATCTCTAATTAGTCATTTCTCTAATCATACTCTAAGAATTGTGCTTCTCAATCTTTTTAGATCCATATCTATGAAAATACTTGCTCACTATCCTCTGTGCTTTACCCCTCTCACCAGCCAAGAAGATTTTGCCTGGTTTTCTTTTTCTCTATTACAAATTACAGAATTAGATCCATTGAACATCCTCTTTCAAATTACCTGGACACCTAGGAACTTCCTGTTCTGATGTGCCTTCTTGTCCCCAGTGGAGAATTATTTCCTTAGAGAATCATCCAAAGCAAGACTCTATGAAATTGACTCTAAGAAGCTGAATATGAGTAGTTTCCAGGACAGGCCTGTTTTGATGAGCCCAGGCCCTGATTATCTGTGCCTCCTTTGCTCTTCTCTGGGCACCCTTGTCCTACTCTATCCCTGCAGTGAGTCAGCCTGCCCCAGCTTGGCTCCTCCACATCAGCACATGCTCATACCAGCAAGCCTGCTCTCACCTTCCCTTTATAATAACCACCCTACTCCCTGATCCTCAAACATCTTGCTTGAGGTTGGGGTTCCGCCTTGAATCCCAATAGTTGTCTTTCTTGCTCTATCCCTCACTCTTTCAGTTCCTTCGTTTCTTCTTGTCATCCACTCTCATCACTGACTTGATGGCCTAACCCTTTCCTCCCTGGAATTAGGTCCCTTAATTTCTACTGATCCAAGGTAGAGCACAGTGCCTGGTCGAACACATTGTGCATAACAAGTATTTGTTGAATGGCTGAATGAATTGGAAATATCCTCTTGTTTGAATTTAAATATGTCTTGGGCATAACTGAGGTATATTAACCTAATACTAATATGTCTTTCTTCTTTCCTTCCTGCCCTAGAATTCTTATTTTTGTTTTCCCATCATTCTGTGTCAAGTTCTGTACTAAAGTTTGCACTTTATTTTTGATTTTCACAACAATGTTTCAAGACATCTGTTGCCATCTCCATTTCGTATGTGAGGAAGCTAAGGGTCCACAGGTTCACTGGTTCCTCCAAAGTCATTCAGTGAGTCAGTGGTGGGCTTCATTTCTTCTTGGACCCACTCCAGGAATCTCCAGGGACTTG